GTGCGTGGCGGATTCCAGTCAGGGTATTGTAGCGATGGTTTTCCTAATGTTTTTGTGTGTCCCAATTGAGGAATTTTTAATGAGGAACTTAGAGGCTCAGAGTGACGTTTTAAACGCGGTTGGTTACAGATACTGGTGTGCTTTCATGGGCGGGAGGGGGCTAGGGAAGCTCTTGAGTCATACGCTTCTTCTTAATTGTTACTTTTATTTTTCCGTAATAATGCCGGAGGTGGAAAGTAGGATCACAGCGTTTTTCTCTAATCAAAAGTTCACTTGTGTGTTTTGCAGGACTCGTACAGAAAGCAGGTTGTCATTGATGGAGAGACGTGCTTGTTAGACATTCTGGACACCGCGGGGCAGGAGGAGTACAGTGCCATGCGGGACCAGTACATGAGAACTGGGGAAGGATTCCTCTGTGTCTTTGCCATTAACAACAGTAAATCGTTTGCTGACATTAACCTTTACAGGTATGATCTGGGTCTTTACCACAGGGAGGGACGACTGGAAAAGGCGTCAGACCCATTTGCCATTAGACCCAGTGGAGAATAATAATAGACAAATATTAAATCTCCCACTTATTTTAGAAGGTTTTTCAAGCTTATCTGTGTTCTCTGTCTGGGTGGTTGTTGTTGATCAAATAATATTTAGAGCATACAGAACATGGCCTCTAAGAAAGCGAGTAAGAAGGCAAATACACATCAGAGCGGAGTTACATGTGAACTAGAAGATGGAGCATCTGAAGTTATTAGACATACTGCTGTATGCTAGAACCCCCGAGGTCTTGTCCAGCATCAATATATATTTTTGTAGCACAGGTTGTTTGAATGCTGAACTAAACCAGTTTTTATATTTAGAAAATAATTCCTGATTTTTTTTTATGTTGTTTTAAAGAGAACAGATCAAGAGAGTGAAAGATTCAGATGACGTGCCCATGGTGTTGGTTGGGAATAAGTGTGATTTGCCCACAAGAACAGTAGACACAAAACAGGCTCAAGAATTAGCAAAAAGCTATGGAATCCCCTTCATAGAGACATCTGCTAAAACAAGACAGGTAAGATGCTTCTATTCTTGGTCTTACTTCTTCCCGTATGCTAAGTGCAGAATGGTCTAACGTATTGCCAGGTACTTTTTTTCTTATCTACAGGAGTAAGCATTTTTTAATCCATTTGCAATTTTTAGCTTTCCATTTCCCCACACACTCTTAGTTTGAAAGAGTTCTGGTTTTATCACTGGGCTAGGCCAGTACACAAATCACTTCAGACTTGCATTGACTTTCTTTCAAGTGGGTGATGTTCATAAGAAGGAGAGAGCTTCATCTGCTCTTGCTGAGAAGTGGTCAGACTGTGCGGTTAGTCGTGCCACACCTGTTTGGTTTTCTGGGCTTCTTAGTGAAGGCAAATTCCAAGATTATGTTTACAGAAAGAATGCCCCATACTGGACTAACCGACTTCTTCAGAGTTGCATTCAAGATGTGGCTCTGACAGTCAGCCGATGTTCTTCCTACATCAGTGTGGAATGAAGCACAAAAGGTGAAGTTATTAAGCAGTAGCCAGAAAAATCTAAGAATTCTAAACCGGAGGTGATTAGTCAAGAATTAGCTTGTTTCCTGCATGGAACCTCTCTACAGTCACAGTTTGCCTTGTTTCTTTTAATGGCTGTTACCCTGAGTGTTGGCCTCGGAGGAGGAGTTCAGAGTGTGAGAGGAGAGTTCCAACTATGGGATAAGTTGGCTACTACTTTTCCTGTAGAGGTTCGTGTCTTTCAAATATGTTAAGGGATCCTGTGATGCAAAGAACAGTGATCTCAAAAGCTTCAGGAAAGAAAATACTTTACCTGGATCATTTGCATTCAGGGTGTGGAAGATGCTTTTTACACACTGGTGAGAGAGATCCGGCAGTACCGGATGAAAAAGCTCAACAGCAATGAAGATGGGAATCAAGGCTGTATGGGATTGTCTTGCGTTGTGATGTGATAAGGTGAGCTGTAATTTAAGTTTTTCATTGGCTTCTTGTCTGTACGTCTTTCAGTTGTTGATAGGCATGGCTTAGAAATAGTAGCTGCTACAGGTGGGTTTTTTCCCTGTTATACAACCCTTCGATACCCAGAGATTTAGATCCTACAATTAACTACTGCTCCAAATTTTTTTTTTTTCCCTCCAAGTAGATAGCAAAGCTTAAGAAAAGAAAATTCTGTTCACAGCAACCTTTTGGCTGTAGCCTGTGGATTTCCACTGAACTGGTAATTGTGTGATTTTCTGTATCATTCTTGTCAGTGTCTCTTTCCTTTGGGAAACCATTTTGACTGTTTGGAGAATGTGTAATTTCTGTCTTGTACACAAGAAACACCTGAACTAGAAAGAAGATTGTGCACAATTGTGCAGTCGCCATTTGCTGATGATTGACTGACTTCTGTGCAGCTTACCTTGAGCTGTGTTTCTCTGGAATGTGCACTGTTTGAAGATTAGCCAAACAAAATTAGTAAGGAAAATTTATGAATTATTAGCGAGTAAGGAAATTTATGAGTTCCCCCAGCTGAGTGAAATTGTTTCTAACAGTTACCCAAAAGATGTTGCTCATCACTGTAAAAACAGGTGGACCAGTTCAGGTCTTGTACTGCACTGTTGCACTGCACATCCATCACAAAGTTGGACAGCAGCTAATCAGAGATGCCTTTCTGTTCCAGATGCCAAGAATACGTGGTTCAGATGTAGCTGCTGGACGAGTCTCGATGCTACTGTATTGCATCTCATGCTGATGCCCTGCAGTATTTTTGTGCCAGTGACCAGAATCTTGGTACCAGTTAATTAGCACAAAGACCTTTTCTGTGCTCCATCTGAAGAGAACACCTATGGCGTCTACCTCCTTGCTCAGCGAACGGAGCGGTCACATCTCTTGATGTACTGGGATTCTTTTCTCACTGTGTTATCTAGGTTTGTTCAAGAAGAATACCAGTCACAAGAAAAGTGACTATAGAGACTAAATGCTGTGAAAAAGATGACACTTTACCTCTAGAGTAAAAGCTAGAAGCGATGTTTATCCCCTTTCTATTGGATTCTGATTTGCAGTGCTGTCAGAGGAGTGGCACTAATCATTGCTTCGCAAGTAACGTCAGAAGTGGTTTTGCCACCATGTCAAACTGTCACGTTATCGAATTGGTATCTGCTCTCTGTGCACCCGTTCAGCATATTTGCAACATCTCCCTGTGCCAGGAGTATCACTTAACTGATCCTTCATTTTCTGTAATAAAAAGGAGATATCTTTCCTAACTTAAGTGCCTGTTTGCTAAGAAGATATGAAGTTTTCCCTTCTTCCCTTGGGTTGAGGAAAACCCCAAGGGCTGGAATTTCTTGGGAGCTCATTGTCTTAAGCAGGCAAGTCTTGTGTGGGTGATCTCTTTGCCTGACAGGATACTAAACCAGGAATTTGTAGGCTGGAATATCCAGCAGGCACTTGTAAGACTCTTGAACTAGGAAGGGGGACATACTGCATCTATTTTTTACTTTCTTTGTAGGTGGAACTGTTTATATTGGTTTTGTGCAGCATTCAGATCTCTTCCAAGTTGGACCAAATTAGTCAGCTGTTCATTTTTAACATTGACTGCCAACATTTATGGGCAGCTTCTCAATAGTTAATCTAGTAACTGGAGGTTAGTTTGGACGGCTGCTATTCAGCTCTGTCTGTAACTTGCAAATTATTTTATTCTGAATTATTTTCTTAACCACCAGATTGTAAGCATAGTCTCTTCAAAATGTCTGTCTGTAAAATGTATTTGGAGAGTCTCCTTGTCAGGGAAGGATGCAGGATTCCAGGTTGACTGTATTTGGTGCAGTGGTTGTCACAGACATAACATGTCCAGACTGAGGGGAGAAGGCAATGAGCTCTAGCAGAAAATCGAGCCAGCTTCTGACAGCAGCATCCTTGCAAAATGAGGAAGGGAGTTCAGTGGCGACTACCCAGAAGGTGTATTTAGCCAAGCTAAATTCCCAGTTAGTCTGACTGAAGAGTAACGAGCCTTCAGCCAACAGAGGGAGCGTTCAGTCTGTCTGCCAGACCGGTGGGAACGGAGAAACTGCAAGAGGCTTAATTTCAGTTTGTTGGTGTCAGATTCATACATCTTATTTTGAAGTTCTCAATTTCAAGTGGAAATTAGAAATCAGTAAACACTGAGAGAAGAAATTGTTCCTTTTAATATTGCTTCACTACTCACATTCTTAATTCTCTTCTTGGAACAAAGAGGATTAATCTGCATCAAGTTTTCTTTATCTGTGATAATCCTTATAAGTACTTTTTGCAATTCATTTTACCCTTGACCGATGTGACACTGATAAGAATTAAAAATACAGTATTTTTACGTAAAACATTATTTTCCAGCAACATTCACAGTAGTGGGCAGCATCATGAATAGCATGTGACTCGAGTTTGTTTGAAGATGATCTCATGCCTGCAAGTTAAACGTGACAGAATTACCATCGCTGCAAGCTGTCATGTCTGTAATCATCAAGCAGTGTTTTTCTTTTATTTGGTGCAAGAAAAGAAGTTATTTGTGAAAGCATTCTTTGAGCACTGTGGCAGGAGATGAGTGCCCCCTTCTAAAGAGATGTCTGACACACTGTTGTCCACTTCATAAAATTACATGTGGAAAATGGTAGCTTTTGGGATACACATCTGGTCACATAGACTCAGCATTTGGAAAGACAGCAATGTGGAGTTTGCAGTGTGCTTGAATGATGAGATCTTGTCATCCAGGTCCATGTATGTTTTTGATTATTTAGGAAACTTGTGAGTTTCCCTCTAGGCAAGCAAGATCACCGAGCTCAGAGCATGAGCCTGTGGCCATGGGAAGCTTTTTGCAGCTGGCTGGCATTTGATGTTTGAAGGTTGTGTGGTCAAGCATGGAAAGTTATTTCTTTTGGGTGGAGGTAATAATTCTCGATGCTGCATGGCATGTTCTAGTTGTCATTAAAAATGTACTAGCTGTAACTCCAAAAGTTGTGAATTCTCAGAATTGTATGGGAACTGGCAAATGCATCTGCTTTCTCTTTGGTGTTCCCTTTCTCTTGGGCTATTTAAAATCTTAAAAGGGAAGATGACCTGGTAAGGATAGGTCAGTATATATTTCACTCTCGGAACCTTAGGGGAGGATGCATCAGCTTTTAGGATGCGGCAGAGCTGACCTACACAGCTGGTACTCCCATCTGCTTATTTGAGTTTCAAGTCTGTCAAGTGATAAAAAATCAGGGTGTTTTACTAGTCATGAGTATGAAGTACATAGTTGTACTTTTTTTCCAGCTGCCTATAAAAGAGAACCCTGATTTTGGTGGCAACTGAGAGAGAACTGTGGAAGGACAAAATCCCAAGAACTTCTGGGAAAATTATTTAGAAGATAAGCACAGAAATTTTTGCACAAGATAGGTCCCTGGAAAAGATGAGTTTGTAGATTTAGTCCAAATGTTTTTTAGAACTACCAGCGCAACGCCGTGCCAGTGCCAAGCTAATTTTAACTATCCTGAGTGGGAAGAACAAGCATGAACAATTTTGAGGTAAAATATAAAAAAAGGGTAAAGCTCTTGTTCAAAAATTACAAGTGCCAATAACTGAAAGAAATGTTTTATTATGGCCTGAGAACAGCTTTTTAATGAGACAGTGTAACGGTGTCACTTGTTGCTGTTAGTGTCCCCACTCCACAGTCTCGGTCAAACAACGGTGCTCAGATGTTCTTGTTGTCATCAGTGGGACTTTGGATAGTAACCATGGTGCTTAAGCCGTCGTAATTTTTAGTACAGTTCAATGACTTAGAATTGGATTTCAAGCAACTTCAGGCCTATGGGGCGAAGGAGAGTAGTGGAAGTTTGAATTACATTTGGATCCTGTATGTGGTCCTTCTTTCCTCCTCAAGCCTTGAGTGACTGACTGTGTATAACCTCCAGGACGGCAGGGAACTGTTGAGATCTGGACTTTTTATCCAAGGGCTAATTTGTTGTTTGTGTAATTATTTGCTTTCAAAAATGCATCTCTCAGTTTGAATTGAAGTAAATTATTTTGCTTCTTAAATAACTTTTTTTAAAGAATAAACTTTGAATTCTTTGATTATTTCTTCTGTGGTAGTGATCTGGGCATGGGGTCCACAACTGGCTTACAGAAAGCTTATCACAATGCTGTCTGCTTTCTCTGTGGGATCTAGATTACTCAAATTGTCACTTGAGTGGTGTGGCATGAACAGCTGTGTCACATATGTTCACTATGGCACGAAGAAGCAATGCGAGTGGGTTTGAGATGTTCCATAGGCTTGTTCCAGAGCCCAGTTTTAATGACCTCGCCAGTCTGTGCCACGTCATGCATCTTGCATTAGTGTTGAGTCTCTGTATTTGAGCTGGGGGGCCTCATAATATTTTTGCTGACTTTCCCCGCGGAAAAGATTCTTGCCAAGTCAAAAAAAAGAGAGAGAGGAGGTTTCCTTCTTTGCTTGATACTCCAAGAATGAAATCAACTGTAAAGTTATTGCTGTGTCCCAATCATGCTCTCTGTTAGGCTTTTAAGTTGCTTGATTCAGTCTTCTAAAACACTTCCCTGTTGGCTTTCCTCCTGCAATACGGAAAATTGTGCTGGACCACACAGTAAGTGTGCTTTAGGTGTGTTTCTCCTAAGACATTGTGTCAGGCCTCTGGAACCCAGAGTCCAATCTCTTTTCTGTGCAAGGAACTTAAGAATAGATTCCTAGTAACACAGATACAGAACTCCTTGCATTGTGTAGCTGCAGTAGCCGCTACCTGTTCCAAAAGGAGAGATTCACAATATGAGTACAGATGGGTGCTTAAAAGCAAGAGTTTTTTTGGCTTTCGAGGAAAGCTTTCCTCCAATATAATTGCTTTCTGTAACAATCTGTTCCTAGAAACTAGTTCACACCTTAAGGACTTACTGACTTTTGTTGCATACTGGAATGGAGGCTGATTTAAACAGCCCTAGAGGAATCTTAAGAGCACTGTGGGGAGAGAAGAACTTGCTGAGGTTCTTCTTAGTGCAAGATGCTGTTGGTCAAAAGCACAGCACATCAAGGAGCACCCTTGTGAGTTTCCACGTTATCTTAATACTTCTATTCTTCAGGTATTAAAACCATTTTCTAGCAAAACTTGCCCCTAGTCTTCTATTTGGACGCCTATCCCTGCGCTATGGCTGCTCCGCCTAAGAAGATCCTAAGTGCCCTAAGCTGCCAGGTTTCTGGCATGTTTGTCCATTTTCCCTTGACTAGCCTAGGTGGAATGAAGGCAGCTCAGAGGTAGAAGTGAGGGTTTAGAGCCACTCTGAAGCCTATGGGTGTGAATCACTCACTTTCCAGCTGAAAAGTGGGAAGGTGGTTGGTTTGTGTTCAGTACTTCAGTTTAAAGAGGCTCTAGATCTAACTTTAGCACAGCATACCCAAGCTTTACTCGTATTTCAACCATGAACCCGACTAAGCTGACCCTGTGATTTCAAAAGCTAGGGGATCAAGAGACCTTTTGAAGAAAATGACCTCTGTACCCTAAAGGTCACTTTTGGTTTCAGATGTGAATCCCAAGATTTTGATATATCCAGAAAGGTTAGGGGCAGATATAGTCCCTGTGGGGGAGCAAACAAGCAGGATCCAGTTTTTATCAACTTTAAATGAAATAGTTAAGTTTAGTAATGTGGTGTGGGGACTCAAACTGGGGAGTGAGTACGAACAAGAATAATTCAGAAACTGAAGACTGCTATGAGCACGAGAGAGGAGAGCAAGTATTAGAGATCAAGACTAGATCCAAGCCACCGTGTGTGGCTTAAGGGAGAAGTTTCCCGCCACACCTTGGATTGCACGAAGTGCTGGTCTCTGTAAGATACGCCTTGGTTCTGGCACACCCCATACAGAACTGAATATCACCCTACTATTACGATACAAAGTTTTACAAAGGCAGTTCCTGAAAAGCTCAGGAACAAAATACAGCTCCTTGCACTTTCCATTTGTTTGTTTTTTTGATTCAGCTGGGAAGATGCTGGGCCATCTGTGCAACTCTTGTTGCTAAAATCCAGTCTTTCAAGTAGACCCCTCTCAGGAAGAATCTTCTCCGAGTAGC